GAAGATGCCGGTCATGGAGGCGTGAGTATCTGCGTCTGCCATAAGATCGACCTCGTCGAGAGAAATTCCTAGAGACCCGAGGAAATCCTCGTCGCTGCTATAGCTTGGAAGAGCCATAGAAGAAGATGGTCTTGTAGCTTTGAGACTTGAGAGGGTTTGAGAGAGCTCTCCAAAGTAGAGAATGAGTAATGAATGAAATGGTGAAATTCAAGCTATTTATAAGCAAATAGCTAAAAAGCGGGTCTTCTGGACCCGTCCGATTTTCGCCTCCAAAATTTGCGTTTCAGACAACCACTGACTCCCATAAATCATTTTTATGGTTGTCGGTGGGGGGCAACTCAAATTTTGCAGGCTCGAAAGCCAAATTTTCCGACTGCAAACAGTCCGGACCGGACCAAAGGCCCATTTTGAAGCTTCACCGAAGTATGCCAATTATGGTACTGTGAAAACTTCCGGGACGTCGCGAGGATCGCGGAACTGGTCTCGGCAATTTTTTTTCGGGAGGTCCGGAGCTCCCGGAAAAGCCTCTGGAGCGAGAATTAGCCAAAACACCAGGCACGGCGGCCCAGCCGCTTGGCTTCCGGCGGCCTTGGCTGCCGACCGCGAGCCCCGGCGGCTCGGCCGCCGAAAACAAGGTCCGATTTTCGCCTATAAATAAGTGCCCCGGCACTCCGTTTTCCTCATCTCGTCTGTGTTGGACGGACGCTCCTTTCTGCCTACGCTCCTTGCGATTCTTTACTGCTTCTCTTGCATTTTATTTAGTTTATCGCTTTCTTGCTGTTTAAGTGGTTACTAAAATTAAAAAATTAATTGAATTCCCTCTCGAGGAGCTTAACCTGGAGTTAAAGAAACGGTCGTCGACTCTAAATCAGGTACATGAACTAAACTTCTGCTTATTTAATTTTAGCACTTCACCTCGCATGTTTCTCTTCTACTCCTTCCAATTCTACAACTTGCATAAATGCATTCTATCATTCATTAGTAAGTAAATTCCTCAAATTAAATATGATTAAGCTAAATGGGCCGGTTCAATTAATAATCGTGGTTATTAAAGCATTAAATCCGACAATTATTGGCCTTAAAATATCTAGTCTATCAATGGCTTATGGTATTGATTGCCTTTATTTTTCGAACCAATTTTCGGCTAAGTTCCAATTAATCAATTATTTGTGAGCTAAAAGGCCTTAATTAATCACTCGTTTCTTTCCGGCAGTTAAATTTGTGACTACATTGCAGTTTTCAGTTTAATAACTTTAGGCAAAACCAAATTGCCTATAAGTAAGATTTAACAAATTTGTGCAAACAATTTGCCTAAATCAACACATTTTTTTTGGCTAAAAGTCTTAAATCACTCAAGTTTTGCGACAATCACCTAAGATAACTCACTTTTTGGCAATAATTGCCTAAAAATTAATCTTATTGGAAAAGGTCTGTCGAATCAACACATTGTGTATAAAAGGCCTCACTAAGATAACCAATCTTTTGGGCAATCAGATTGCATAAATCACAAAACTTTTTGCAAAGGGCCTTAATCCATTTTTTTTGGCCAAACCCAATAAGCCCAAAACAAAATCGCAATTTTGGCAATAAATTGCCCAATCAAACACTTTTGGCAAACAAAATGCCTAAAAAATCAAATCAATTTTTCAGCAGAATGCCTAAACAAAATGCACGAAGCATAATTAAACAAGGTGGCGACTCACACTCACGTGCATTTCTACCTTTAGTCATATGCGTAACATGCATTTACATGCATTTTGGCATTTGGGGAGGGGTTCACACTTCCATTCAAACGGAAGTACGTAGGCACGTTTGGGATTTAACCCCGAGCGGCAAGTTGAAATCACTTAAACATTCCATTGGTTCAATTACCTTGCAAAGCATTCATTTATTTTGGTTAGTTCATCAGCATGACATAGTCTCGGGATCCACCTCGGGTTCGAAGATTGTGCCTTAGACATTGGGATAATTAATCTAGTAATTAGGAATTGGAGTCACTTAGGGTTTTTCCATAGGTTTACCTAATCAATTAATTATAAAGGTGCGCGACTCATACATTTCACGTGGCAATCGTTTCCTGGCCTCTCAGGTCACAGTCCATTCAAGGTGGCGACTCATACATTCACGTGCATTTCTGCCCTTAGTCACATGCATTCATATGCATTTTGATGTTTTGGGGAGGGGTTCACACTAACATGATTTGCTTTGTAAATTCCATTTATTGACTTTTTTTTAGACTATTTTTTTGTACATCAACATCAAATTTCATTAAATTATGGCGTTTTCAATTGAAGAATGAGTTGATTTTTGAAATTCAAATTGATAAGTTTTTAATATAATTTGTTTCTTATTATATATTGAGTTCTTAAAAGGGTTTTATTCATAATAATAAGAATTTTTTATTTTCTTTTTTATTACTGAATTAATATGTAACCCTTATCACTCTAATTTAGTAAGAGATTTATATCTTTCTTGGAATAAATACATAACCTCTTAATTAAGAATTTTTAATTTTCTTAATATTTTTTCTCTTATATCCTAAATTTGTTCAAACTTGAAAAAAAAATAGTGTGTATGAAATTGGAAAAGAACTAGTATTACATATTTCTGTTTTGGTCACTTTTAGAATTTTAAGAATTTGTGTGTATGTTCATATATTTCTTTCTCTAATGCCAAATGATTACTATTATCAATTCAGATTATATTATCATTTCTTTTCTTTTACGTGCCTAATAGTAAAAAATAATTTATTATTATTTTTCATCATAGTTGTATATAGATATTGAATTAGGGCTGAGGATAAGAGATTAGAAATTTGACATGTGCATTTCATGCATACATATTAATACATTTTACCTTCTAATTAGTCCAAATTTAGGGATTTTAAATAAATTAGTGTTAGTTTTTGCATGTATTGTGCATGTGTTGTGTTTGTCTCTTCTTATAGAGCAGGTCCCACCTTTTTTTAGGGAGAAAACCCTAAAGTAAGGGTTATTTCATTCATTTTGGATAATTCCATAAGAGGAAAGCTTAGCGGCCAAAATGGACAGGTGGTGCACCAATCGTGCATTGTGTGCTGGAGAAGACAGAAGCATTTGATGTATAATTTACGACTGTTGCGCCGACTGTGAGTTCTGCTCCAGTAAGTCAGAGAGTTCAAAGCAAAAAAGCAAAACCAGCGTATCGACCGTGAAGAAACCGCTCGTATGATGAGCCGTAGATTTGGTGTGGTGAATGGACAGCACAAGAAGGCATAATCGGTGCACCGATCGTATGTTTTCTCGTCTAGCAACTGGAAGCGGAAGAATAGGTCAAAGATCCTTTTCAAAATGGATATGCAAATCTTGACATAATCCTTTCTGCACCATAAAAAGAGGAAGAAGGGATGCAGGGATCATTAAACAATAGCTAGGGAACAATATAGATTAAGAGGGCACAAAATTGGGTTTGACTCTAGGGAACTACTCCATAGTTGGCAATTGAAACAAGATTGCTATCTTAGTTTTCTATTGTGGATAAGGATGATTCTAGAGCTACCAATTCCTCTCAATCTTTTGATTTGTAATTTGATTATGCATAGTAAGCAGTTGCCTTAGCTAGTGTTGGGTGAAAATCCATTTGAGCAAAACTTATGTAAACATCTCTCTTTATTTCAATCTAGATGAATGTTTTCTTGATTCTTATGTGTGTATGCTTAATGCTTATGAATATGATAGAGCTCCATAATTATATCAAAAGAAATGAGAGGATGAAGAACTGGAAGGTAAAGTCCCTTGTTGGACTGACCCACACAAGAACCTAGGAGATAGACTTAGGAATAAGCTAATCCTGTAAGGAATTAAGGAGAATTATAGAGATTAATAGGCTGGAATCATCATTACACCATAAAAGTAGGTGTTCTTATGATTCCGAAATGTTTATGTTTCTTAAAAGAGAGCATAAATATGAATGGATTCCTCCCCCTTCAAGATGCATTCTTTGATAGATAGAATGAGGGAATTTGAGACCATGATGTTGTTCAATGGAGTTGATCCCAACACTAGTGCCTTTCCTTATTAATCAGACCAAATCCAAATTTGCTTTCTTTTAATTTAATTATTTACTTGTTAGCTCTACATTCAAATAGTTTAGATTTCACAAACTCTTTGATTAATTTCTAGACAATTCATTTAGATTTGAAACTAATATTCACTCCCCCTCTATCCCTGAGGATGCTATCTTTATTATACTACTTGCACGACACGCACATTTGTGAAATTGCTAACAGGTTTTTAGCACCATTGTCGGGTATATGCTCTTTGGTGTTGATATTAGTAATCGAACCCATAGTGTTGATCTAGATTCTTTGTTTCACCTTGATCTCTACTCACCAATCACTTCTATATTTTTCTTGCAAATGCTGACCTTGTATGCCTTAATCCAAAAGTCAAGATTTGCTTCCCATAGATCTTGAAATCGAAAGAATAGCAAGGACTTTGAGGAGGATAAATCCTAGATATTAACGAGGCCCTTCAAGGAGAGTTTTTGTAGAACCCCAAGCTGAAACTCTAGCTTCTGACAAAGAGCAACAAGTGTTTGAAGAAGAGCAAGAGGAAGAAATTCCTGGTTTTGAAGAAGTATCACCAATGGCAGATAACTAGAGATTGGTAGATCTAGTCGTCTCCATTGTTGAAGGGATATGCCCATCAATTGTACAACCAGCAGTCACGGCAAACAATTATGAGTTGAAGACGTCAATGATCAATTTGCTGCAAAATAATCAATTTGGAGGATTGTCACATTAAGATTCAAATGTCTACATTGCAACCTTCAACGAGATATGTGACACAGTGAGGATCAACGAAATGTCGAAAGAAGCTAAAAAGCTGAAGCTTTTCACCTTTTCACTCCATGATAAGGCCAAAGCTTAGTTACATTCAATGCCGGCGGGATCTTTCAGAACATGGGATAAGCTCTGTGCAGCATTTTTGAAGAAATACTTTCCACTTAGCAAGACTTAGAGGCTAAAGACGAAGATCGCTACCTTTAGGCAGAAACCGGATGAAAGTCTCTTTGAGGCTTGGAGAGATACCGAGACATCCAAAGACAGTGCCCTCACCATGGCTGGGAGAGGCATTTCCTCATCCACTAGTTCTTCGAAGGGGCTCTACCAAGTGTATAAACTGCTCTCCATGGAGCAGTCGGAGGATCCTTCTTTGAGAAAACCGTTAACGAAGCTTACAGGCAAGTGGAGCAAATGGCCAACAACAACCAGAGGTGTGGAAGAGAACCAAATCCAATTAAAAAGACTATAGGAATGTCAAAGGTCAATGGAATTACTTTGCTCTCAGCCAAATTTGACGCACTGGCTAAGAAGCTGGATAGTATTCAGCAGGTCAACATGGCTTTTTCAGCGTGTGGAGTCTATGGCGGTGTTGATCATGCTAACTCTTAATGCATGTTCGTTAATCAACTGATGAATGAAGGAGTTGTGGAGAATATAGAATCAGTTCCAACAAAAGCATTTTGCGAACTAATTCCCTAACCACTTTGGGCAAAACTGGAAGAATCCTCACCCAAACTTTAGTTGGAGTAACCTGTCAAACACACTCCAACCACCTCAGCCCAGACCATTACCACCAGCACTACAAAAAAAAAATGCGGTTTTGCGACTGAATTTTGCGACCACCCCTTGTCGGTTGCAATATTGCGATGGTGTTGCGACCATTTGCAATGAATGTTGAAGTAACATAGATTTAATATTCACCGATGGATTTGGAACTAATCTCTGATAAATTTTGCAACGGATTTGCGACCGACTGTATATCCGTCGCTAATTCTAGTAGTAATAACTCCCGCCATTTTAGTTTTTATTTTGCAACTCAATTGTAATGAATTAGTGACTAATTTTGCGAGGATGTAAGACCGTTTCACAATTCATCGCTAAATTGCGCTCTACAGTTTAGCGCCAAATTTAGTTTCTAGTTTGTAAGGGATCAGTGATAGATTTGGGACTGATATTTTGCGATCGATTTTTTTGGTCTCAAATCCGTCGCAATTGGTTTATTACAAAACGACATCGTAGGATTAAAAATTGCAATCGATTTTGAAGTTTATAGTCGGTCGCAAAAAATTAGGGCTTTATAACCTTTGGTCGCCTTGGGCACAATCGCAATGCGCCTCTCCCCTTTTCTCTCCATTTTCAACAGCTGCATCTCCTCTCTATTGCAGCGACGGTCGCCGGAGAAGCCCCTATCACTAGAAATCGCCCTGTCACCGAAGAAGCCGCATCATTCGCTCTCGTGGTGTAATAATTTGGTAATTTTTTTCAATTTTTTCCCTTCTTTTCCAATTTCCTATTTATTATATAGCAATAAAGTTTATAGGTCATAGCTTTTTTATCTCTCTTCTTCAATTGAAACTTTAATTAGGGAAGTTAAAACTTTGAATATTTAGAGAGTTAAAAATTAAAAATACAATAAAAAGAGAATTACTTTATGTTGATTTATTTTTTTTGAAATTTATTGAAATTTATCTTCTTAAAATTACTTTATGTTGATTTGTGTTTTCATTTGAGTGGAAATACATGAATGATGCGTTTGAGTTGGAGGCCTAGTAGTAGCCATCTTGACTTTGGAGACTGTTCGAATGATATAGAAGTGTTTATGTGTGTGTGTTTTGACTTGGGATTTGATTATGTTCTGTTGAAGTGCTACCGAAATTTTTTTTAAAAACTGAATATGAGGAATCGTGTAGTTACTGATATTATAGTAAGTTTACATACATATATATATATTTTACAGTCCATATATATATATAAATATATATTATATAAAGATGTAACATTAGTTAGAAATAATAACCTTAGTAATTTTACATATATATAGTTACCCTTTTGTAGGTTCTTTATCTATAGTACTGATGGCTAGAGGCAAGGCGGTTGATTCAAACGCATCCGGCAGTGGTCCGTGTAGAGGTCATTGCCGAGGACGTAGTACACGTGGACGAGGAGGGCCTATCCCTCCTCCTTCTTCTTCAAGTATGTCTGGGGCTTCATCTTCTGCTTTGCCTCCTATTCCGCCACCACTTCCTTCTATTCCTTCCTCTTCTATCCCATTTCCTGGACTAGCAGAGTCTTCACCAGCTTCACCATCACCTACTGCACCAAGTAATCATAAATGTTCATTTACTGTCATTTTAGTTATATATTAATTATTTATCTGTATTGATAGCATTTATCACTTCTTTTGCAGCTTCATCTAAGCCACGTAACAAGCTCAGTTTGGTAGCGGGACAATAAGTACTTATTTACTTTTTCCTTTCAACTTGGTTTTGTTCAGATTTTGATGCTTTCGTTTTGATGCTTTCGTCTACTTATATTTCACATTTGTTTTTTTTTCTCAGCATAAATCCATCCTCTCGAGCATCAAGGCAAATTAGGATAATCGAGCTACATCTGGACAAAGATGGATACATTGGGATGCTGTACCACAAGAGGCGAGAGACTTTTATTGGGAAGAGTTTTAGGTACGATATGGTTCAAGTTATATCTTCATTGAATGTAATTAGTAATCTGAATCTATGGGCTTTCACTTACTCTTTATGGAAATTTTATTTTTCATTTTTGTAGAAGCCTTTCATATGGGAAGGGGCTATTATGGCTATGCTAAAAGTAGCCTAGGAGAAATTGTGCGTTCTACGGTATGCTGACTTCACTTATAGGATGCAAAAAACAGGTAAGAAGCAGCAGTGCGTGTCTCAGGAGATATGGGAGAGCTGGCAGAAGGCTTGGGATGATCCTGCATTCAAGAGAAAGTGTGAGATATTTGCAGAGAAAGTGTGAGATATTTGCACGAAACAGGCGCAGTGAGACTGACGTGACAGAGCAGGACCTTCCCGACACACAAGCGGATCAATATCTGCTATAGAGACATCTCGATTATTAGTGATTCAATTAGTTACAGTTACAAAACCGATGTTTAATGAAATGACACCATGTTAATATATCATGCGTAAAAATTCATTACAGGCAGAAAAATATGATCGTGAACCCACACGAATAGAGGTGTTCACTTACACTCACACAAAGGACCACGATGGAAATACGTTTGTCGATAGACATGCATTGGGTGTCAATGTAAGTAACAAAGAAGAATATTTACATTTACTTTATAGTCTTCTCTTACATGTACAAGTTCAATATAATAAAGCTTGCAACTGCATTGATTAATTAATTTGTTGTTTTCAAGAGGACTACAGTATAGCTCGCGAGCTTATTGTTTTTTCTTAGGCTGGATCTGAAGCTGAGTCAAAAATTGATGAGTTAGCACTTTATCTGGAGGCCGTAGGGGGTGAAAAGAAGAGGAAAGTATATGGCATCAGGTCTCAGGCATAGTGGCCATCGAGGTCTAGGCATTACAGCTTTTACTGTTAGCACTTTATCTGGAGGCCGTAGGGGGTGAAAAGAAGAGGAAAGTATATGGCATCAGGTCTCAGGCATCACAGTTTTACTGCGGCTCAACATCTGACGCTTCTACAGCCTCCTTATGACCACAGCCTGACCACAGTATCGACGAGATTAGTGCATTACAGGCTCGTGTTGATGAGCAAGAGAGACAGCTTGCAGAGCTTAGAGCGCATGTCATGCGGATGTATGGTCATCATGGTGCTAGTACTTCTTCCTCTGATCCTCCATCGGCTATAGATCCACATGTTTTTATAACTCTGCATCAGCCACGATCGTCTCCTCTAGATCCCGATACTGCAGACGATACCTTGGTCACTCCTGTAGACACTACGACACATCCAACACATACTACTATTAATCCAGTACACACTACACTGGATCGTCCAGAGGACCGGCATCATAGATTTGATTTCGAACCATTTTAGATTTCCGTGATTTTTTCATATTTTGTATAGTACATTACATTTATAATTCCTTTTTAGATTGTTATTGTTTCTGATGATGCTTGTGATTGTGATGTATATATATGTCGATTTTTGACAGGTGGAAAAAGTTATCGTTTTTAATATTATTAAATTATTATTTTTTGCCTGTAATTATATTTTGCGACCTACTGGCGACCAAACTGCAACTAAATTATAATTGTTAAATTTAAATTTGCAACAGATCACCAACCAATCACTTTCAGAATTTGCGATCGCTTTTTATAATTGCGAGCGACACTTTCTGCGACCAATTTGAAATAATCTTCCAGAAGGAAAACAAGACGAAAATTAGCGATTGATATTTATAAGTTTGCGATCGATTTGTTTGTCGCCAATTTGTCATCGTCTAGTTATTCTATCGTAAAATTATTTGCGGTGAGCACTTTTGCAATCGATTCATGTCTGTCGCAAATCGGTCGCTATATCCAATTAACGACCGATTTCTTATACTTCAGCGATTTTTTTATAGTGCAAGGTTCCCACAGTTGAGACCACCACAAATACCTAACCCCCATTCCCAAATACTCAACCACCTCAGTCAACCACTGATTCAAACCTAGAGCGCTACATAGCCTTGCAGGAAAAAGTTAATGAATCAGTAAATAATAGATTTGAGCAAATGATCACCCATTTGAATGCTAAAATAGACCAACTAATCTCTTTCCAAAGGATACTTAAGACCCAAATGGCTCAAGAAACCAGGAACCAAAAAGCCCAAGGAAAGTTGCCCAGCCAACCTCTCGAAAATCCAAGAGAGCATTGTACCAATAACTCTCAAAAGTGGCAACACCCATGAATAACCCATACCCCAGCCCAAACCTTAGAGGAAGGGAGATGAGACTGTGGATGTTAAGTAAAGAGAACTATCTAAGGATATAGCAGGAGAAAAGATAACGAAAGTTACTCCCCCACCTCTAGTGGAGATGAGAAATACTAGGACAAGGTTCCATTTCCACAGTGACTGAAGTAAGTTCAGCTAGATAAGCCGTTTGGGAAGTTTTTAAACCTATTCAAGTAGCTCTACATGAATGTTCCATTCACTAACATTATTATCCAAATGCCAACCTATGCGCAGTTCCTTAAAGACATTTTGTCCTCAAAGAGGAAGTTAGTGAAGAATGAAATAGTTGCTTTGACAGACGACTGTAGTGCTTTAATCTTAAATAAGCTTCTTCTTATGCTAAAAGATCCTGGTAGCTTCTCTATTCCTTGTGAAATCGGAGAGATGGAAATTCAAAAGCCCCTTTGTGACCTGGGAGCTAGTGTTAGCTTAATGCCACTCTTAATCTTCAGTAAGCTAAATACTGGGGAGTTGAAGCCTAAAACAATGATTTTACAATTAGCTGATAGGTTAGTAAATTATGCTTTGGGGGTTGTTGAAGATGTACTAGTTAAAGTAGGAAAATTATTTATACCGGTTGATTTTGTGGTTCTCGACATGGATGAGGATAGGCACATTCCTATCATATTGGGAAGGCCTTTTCTTGAGAAAGCCGGAGCTCTCATAGATTTGAAGAATGGGAAGCTTACACTTCAAGTTGATGATGGGAAGCTGGTTTTGACCTTTTTAAAATGGTGAAACAATAGCCCAAGTTCACTAATGTTTTAGATGGACGTGGTTGAGGAGCTAGTAGAGGCAATAGCGCGAAAGGAGAAGTCCGACAATCCTCTTCACACTTGCTTGGTAGGATCAAAGGATGACTTGAAGCAATGGGATGAGGCTTCGAAAATGGAAAGCTATTTAGAAGCTGGAAAGAAAATCTCCCCTGGTTTGAAACTCAAGGTTGAAAAACTGAAGGATAAAGAGGAAAAGAGACCTAAACCTTCTCTTTCAACACTCAAGGAGGAAGATGCACCAAACGTGGAGCTCAAGCAATTGCCACCAAACCTTAGGTACGCATTTCTTGGGCCTAATTCTACTTATCCAGTCATTATTAATGCATCATTGAGTGAGTTAGAATAGGAAAAAACCCTTAGAGTGTTAGAAGTATAATTTTATACAAAATCCATGACTTAAGAGGGATGAGTCCCTCCATCTCTATGCACAGAATCCTCTTTGAGGATAACACTAAACCCTCCATTGAGCATTAAAGGAACTAAATAGCAATATGAAAAAAGTTATGAAAAAAGAGATACTCAAACTCCTTGATGCTGGGATTATTTATCCCATATCTGATAGTGAATGGGTAAGCCCCATTCATGTTGTTCCTAAGAAAGGGGGGTGACATTGATTGACAATGATTTTCACAAGTATACGAAATTGCAACAATTAATATAGAATGAGAATTGTATACCAAGTACCAAAATTATGTTAACCTATTATTATTTAAACAGCAATAAGGGGAATTATATTTAAGAACTAACTTCAGTAAATAAAAGAGAATAAGAAGAAATCAAGCAAGACAATTTTTGATTAAAAGAATCAAGGATTATGAAAAGGAAATCAAAGGTTAAAAACTACTAGGAAGTTTGATTTCACTTAATTATATCCAATTTATTCTATTTGTTTGATAATCAATTTTAATTTTTCAAGTAGAGGAAGCAACCCTAAAATCACTAACAAGCTCTCCGATGTATTGTTAGCTATTTTAACCCGGTCTAATTACCTATCTTCTAATAGCACAATCAAACATAAATTAAATCATTAAGTTTTATTAATTTTATTGGTTTTGTTTTGGTGAATTCATAACCCTAAGGGTTCATTACTTATGAAAACCCCTCATGAGTCAAACATATAGCTTCCGCATCAAAGTTTATTATTTTCATGTAATCTTATTACCTTTTTCATATCAAAAACCTTTCTCCCATCAAGTGATTAATCGAACATAATTTAATTGAGGGAGAAAACTCTGCTCGGCATGCCATTAAGTTCAATATAAATTATACTTTGAACAAAGAAAAGCAATCTAATATTATAAATTTTAGAAGAGAAATTAAGCTATACATTAAATCCCTAGTATGAGAATTGTTATTTTGACAATAGTAATTAAAATAAAAACTCAAATTAAACTTGAAAAATTTCATAACATGTGAATAATTGATAAAGTAAAACAAGATTAAGAAATTTAGAGATAAAACTAGTCAAACAAATAATTCTGGATGGCTTACTTAAAATCGTGACACAATCTTTGAGTCATTGAAGTCTTGAAGATTGAAGAGAGAGAAAACAATAGAACAAAAAGATGGAATATACAATGAATGACTCCTCAATCATGGCTAGTCTCTCTCTTTATATAGACTTTTTGGAACATCTTCGTGTTTGTTCAGGAAAGTGAATCTTTATTAAGCAAGAAATCTTTTGCGGATAGAAAACTGTTTAGGCTTTGTATTTCTTCCCAATTAGGACTCTCCAGTGCCTAGATAGGAAATAAGCTGGTTTCCTATAAAAATCCTGCAAAATTCTTCAAGATCAAGTGAAATATGATTAAAGGAAGCTTTACACAAAAATATAAATAAAACTAAATCAAAACTAATTAAAGTAATTAAAAAATACTAAAAAAAAAACCTAATAAAAAAACTAATTAAAAATATCTATAAAAAATAACACTTATCAAAATTCTCCCAAATTAAACCATTGCTTGTCCTTCAAGCAACAAAACTAAAAACTAAAGAAATACAAGCTAAACAGACTAACAAAGCTAGCCTTAATAGGTTGGGGATAATTATTCACAAATTTTCAAAAAATTATCAAAAATCATTAACATGAGAATAATCAAGTGTTTCCTATGCTTAATTATATTCTAGCAAAAATTCAATTTTCAACAAAAACATCTTAATTTAAACCATAAGTGCATAAGAATTGTTCCACATAATAATTATTCAACCGATGACAAATAGATATGGATTTTTCAATCAAAAAATTATTTAGCCTTTGAAATTCCGATTGTTTAATAACGTATAAGTTCAGACATTCCCATCATGCAAAAAAAATTAGTCATCTCTTCTCCACAATTGAAATGCATACAATTTAAAAGATCAAAAGGTCTTTATTTAGGTTGTAATGGGGTATTAGGGATTTACTTTTTAACTGAACAAAGAAAAAGGATAAAAGGATAGACAAAAAGCACAAAAAAATGCATAATATCAAAATTTTCATTACATCAAAACAATTCCTTTTTTTTTATTATTATTATTTGTAAAGGGAGATTAACTTGAAGTTCTTCACTAGCTCAAAATTAGAGATACTTTGGCAAGGTCTCTACATAATACTTTGATAATTTATTCCTTGCTTCAATTCCCCAAACTTGAATTTTTGATTGATTGCTTCTTCTATGCAGTGTTTCTCTTTGAGTTTTCTAATTGGTCCACTTAATTGCTAGTATTAATAAAATTTTCTCCGTTTTTGTTGCTATGTTTTAATAAAAATCAAATTAATAAAATTTTCTCCGTTTTTGTTGCTATGTTTTAATAAAAATCAAATCATTCAATTATACATTATTGCACTTAGGGTAGGAATTTAAATTGGTTTAATGGCTAGCTTAATAAGGGTGAACAATAAAATTTGAATATAGGCTTCAAATTGGTTGCAAAAGTCATATTTTAATTTAGGTGGCCTAAGCTAAATTAGGGGTTTAACAAAGAATGCCTAAATCATCTCAATCTAAATGTAAGCATTTAAAAATTTTGTCCCAAAGGGAATTCTAACTTGTTCTAGGAATGCCAAGATTAAATAAATTATGATTAAAACATATCTATATATCATAAAATTCACAAAAATTGGTGTTCATAATCTTAAAAACAAATGGTTAAATCAAAAAATCATGTTAAGTCAGAAATTTTAAAGTAAAGCTTAAACATACTAGATTAGAAAATCAATTAAATCTATCACAAGTTACTAAATTATGATAATTTTCAAGTTTGTTCACAATTATTCCAACCATATTAAGCTAAAAACAAACAAACAAAATAATAATAAAAAATAAAAATAAAAATAAAGAAATAAAAAAATATTAAAATTTTAACTAAAATTTTTCTTTCCCCAACTTAATCTAGCACATTTGTCCTCAATGTGTACAAAAATAAGAACAATTCTCAAACTTGTCATAAATCATCAATGCAAGGTAAGAAAATAAAAATAAAATTGAAAACATCTTACCACCATTGTATTGAAAAAAACAATAAAAGACAAGGAAACAAAGGGCATTGTTCCAATGGCTAAATTCTGAAAATGGAAAAGAACAACATAACACAATAATAATAATAATAATAATAACAATAATAATAATATAGATATATTAGTTAAGAAAAGAAAGAAAAAAAACATCGAAAATAATAATAATAATAATAATAATAATAATAATAATAATAATGGAAAGGAAATTTCCTATAAAAATAATTAAAAGCAAATAATTAAAAAAAGTGAACGTACGGAAAAAAAAACAAAGTGAACTTACGTCAAAATAAAAGAGAGAAAAAAAAACAAAACATTGATGTGGGCACGTGGTCTAAGGCATAAAAGGACAAAAAACAAAAAAAAACAAAAAAAAAAAAAAAAAGAAAGAAAGAAAAAAAAGCAGTAGAGTAGGACAAAAAAAAAAAAAAAAAAAAAAAAAAACGTTGCACAGCCAAAATGAGGCACGCCTGACCGTGCTGCCTGGGAGTGCTAGGTAGCACAAGGGTGCTGAGAAGCACACCTTGACCGTGCTAGAGTCTGACTATGGACGTATTTTTCTCTGAAAATAGCACGGGGGTGCTGGGCAGTACGCCCTACTCGTGCTAGAGCCCGACTCTGGCACTTCCAACCAATTTTCAAGCCTCTTTAATCCTTCTTTTGACCTATAACATCAGTGCAAAACACCAAAATAAAAGAAAATAATAGTTTAAAGATGGGAGAACAAAATGAAAAATATTAGTAATAATAAAATAAAATAAAACGATTGCAAAGGAAAAGAAAGAAAATGATGGGTTGCCTCCCATTAGTGTTTTGTTTAAAGTCTTTAAACTCGACTTTTGAGAAGTTTTATCAAATAATGGCTTTCGCCCATAGTATGTATCATATAATATCACACATGGGTCTTGGTTGAAAATGCCCTTAAGATTGGATAGTTTGAGAAAATTTATGCTCGTCTTATAACAACATCTCGCTTTCAATGATGAAACTGGGGAAAGAATTGTATTAGAACATGGAGAACATAATTTATTAAAGGTGGTATCATTGGAAAGAAAGGATCTTCCGGTGGTGTATATATAAAAACCATTGATGAGCTCAAATCAATTGATGAGCTCAAATCAATAGTCTCAATTATTTCTTCATCCACCAATATTGCTTGATGCTTGTCTTCATTTAAACTCTCACCCAATGTCACTTCCAGCTATACCTCACCTTTTTCATTGTCATTAATAATCATGTCTGGAAACAAGAAAGTGAGATTTAATCCACCTTCAAAAGAGTTGCATTTTTCACATGTAGTCTTTACTTCTTCTAAAGGTGCAATTTCCCATGAAATTTCCTCATAATTCACCTTGCACTCATCATCTTGATATCCATTAGTTGCCATGGTTATCAATTCCACTACTTGTACCTCCACTGCTTGTTGGATCTTAAAACTCTCGCGAGTTTCATTCATAAATTCCATGTGAGATTTAGTAAGGGCAACAATCAAATCCTCTAAATTCTTCTACTTCTGTTCTTCATACTCAAAATTTGGAGGATATTGGTGATTCTAACCCTGCAGTGAAGGATCCCAATACCAACGGTAGTCAAAATCTGCCATATAATTTAACATGTAAAGTAGATCTTCATAGCTACTTTCCAGAAGGTGAATACTGGTTGCCGAAAATTCATTATCCACCTAACTTCTTGTTTCTTCATCTAATCCACAGTAGAATATGTAAGTGAAATATTTATTTGTAAAATTATGATAAGGAATTCTCTCCAACAATTCATTAAATCTTGCCGAAGCAGCATAAAATGGCTCTGAATGTTGTTAAATAAAACTTGCGACTACTTGTTGATGAAACATC